TTGCCAAGCGACGAAAACCCAATCCCGATGGCAAACACCGGGGGGGGCGGCTTGTTTTACAACGTCGTTGCCAAGCGACGAAAACCCAACCCCGACGTCAAACACCGGGGGGGGCGGCTTGTTTTACAACTTCGTTGCCAAGCGACGAAAACCCAACCCCGATGGTAAAACACCGGGGGGGGGTTGCGCGGGAGCGGGGGGATTTTTCGAAGGTGTCCTGTACAACTGTTGGGTCTTGAAACCGAGGAACCGAGGTGCAAGGGTGCGGTACATTGGCAGATGGGATTTGGCTTTTGTGTTCGATGCGAATACTCTCATTTTCACTCTTTTGAGGCCAGGGCGGGGAAGCACTAGATTGGCCGAGCTGGACGTGCTTTTGGGTTTTGTCTGGGTATGTCCCTTGTCTGTTCAGCCGCTGCTTCGTTGGATGACAAGCCTCACTGAGTCGTTCGTTCCGGGTGTGTTCTGCGCCTCCATTTCTATGTTCCACCTGTTGTTCTTTCCCTCTTGGTGTACATCTAATGCGACGGCTTGGGCCATTGCGGAGCTTGACAGACCTCCCTATGAAGCTTCATACACTGTACCCCCTTTGTGACAAATTCCTCCCTTGTTTACCTCAGTTTTACCGTTCGATGTACATGTCATGCATTGGACCGTGCGACCACTGAGGTTTTCGCCTTTGTTGTCATATTGTGCTGCCCTGTACAGCCCAAGGGTACTCCTAAGCTGGAGTTCATGCAGCAGGGCATGAAGTGGATTGTGGAGAACCAGGGGTCCAGCAATGGAGTGGTAACGGTAGAGGTCACCGATAAGAAACACCAGGTATGTACTATACTGTACTGTACAACATGAGTAACATGCGTACGTGCACTTGAGGGGTTGAAGACAAGCGATTTTTGACGCTGGCTATTTTCTCATACTTGGATCCAATCCGTTACACCTATACAGCAAGAAAACAACCTGGCTCTTCGTGCTAATATATGAAGATGTCACCAACAAGAAGCACCAGGTGTGTACTGTGCAACATACGTGCTCCTAACTGTGACCGTCAGGTTTTTGTGGGTGACTTGTCCACCGCATCACTGGGTGGGGGGGGTTGTGTTGGTGTCGCCTGAAGGGATGGAGAAGATGGCAGATGCGATGGGCGTTGGTTTGTTGCCATGGGGCACGAAAGCAGGCGGGAACTGCTGCGGAATTGTAAGTTAGTATGGGGTTTGTCGCTTCAATTTGCACGACCTCATTTTCTTGATATGTATGTAGGTGTACATCTACGGGTGCGTGGACGCCACGATCGACATCAAGGGCAAGTGCAAGATGGTCGCCATCGACGGCTGCAAGAAAACCAAGGTCAGACCAAGGTCACCATTCAATCTCAGTCGCGTTGGATCTCTATATCCATGGATCGGATCACCGAATGTTCGACCGAAAGGGTTGCTGTTGCATGTGACGTGAGGCACTGGGTGCCTACCGGATGCTTGTCGGACAAACGTGCCCAACCGCGGAGTGTGGTCTTTCGGCGAAGTGATATATGCTCTGGGGGATTGCGTGCTTCTTTGTCCCCGCCCGACACTGGCTGCGATTGTTGGATGTTTATGTGGTTTGGTCTGGCTTCCCGTTGTCATGTTGTCGACAGGTCGGACAGGTTTGACAAGTTTCCATAGCGCTTATCCAGAGGGTTGCCGAGGAATATAGTATTGTGTGTTTGACGAGCCACGACGTCGTTCACTCATAACCGTGGCCCCTTTCCTCCCTTGCATTGCCTCAACCGCCACGTCATGCAAAAAGGTTCTGTTGGACGACGCTATCTCTTCGGTGGAGCTGGTGAACTGCCAACGTATCCAGGTGCAGGTCCGCGGATCGGTCCCTTCGGTGGCTGTGGACAAGACGGACGGGTTCCTCTGCTACCTCGGCAAGGACGGCCTGAAGACCAACTTCGTTACCTCCAAGGTGGGGGTTTAGCACATTAGACTATGGTATGGGGAAGTATATAGTTGCGTCCCCAAACCTGAACAATGAATAAATACCCGAAACAAAAACAAGCAACACCCCAAACCCAACACCATAATGTTGTGTTACGGCACTTGCGACCCTCGTCACTTTTTGGTGCGTGTTGGTTTTGTCTGGTTGTGTTGGAGCAGTATATAGTCTGCACAGGGTTTTCGAAGCAAGCACAGATATTGGATGAAGTGTAGAATCGGCTAGACTGGGCCTGGGCTAGGGCCTGCCTGGTATTTTTTCGATATTGAATTACTTTCTTTGCGTAGACAGCCCCGTTGGAGCACTGCAGGGCGGGTAAAGCAAGCAGGGAGGGTTCCCTAGCGAGTAACCCTGGTTGGTAGGCTTGGCGTTGTCTACCATGTTGTGCCGGAAAGCATCATGGAGGAAGACATTTCTGCTTCTCCTGCGTGCTGCGCGGCAGTAAGGGCGCATTCGCCCCATAACACCGTCGTTCCCGTTCCCGTTCATGTACATCATAGCTGCGCCGGCGACATTATCGAGCTACCTGACACCCGTCCGTCCGTCACACGTCTTGCCTCGTTCCCACACACCTTCCAATTGCGTGCTTGCCTGCCCTGGAGCAGTCTTCGGAGATGAATGTGGCCTTCCCCAAGCCGGACTCTGACGAACAGTTGGAGATGCCTATCCCGGAGCAATTCGTACACACCGTCTTGTTTGACCCCAAGCCGCGGATCACCTCCGATGTTTCGGATCTCTACTCGCACTAAGCACTAGTCTAGATGCCCTGGAATCGCCGCCGTCTCCCACAGTAGATTTGTGATAACTTCCGCTCTGGTACGGGGATTGAATTGGTGGGAGGCATGCGGGGGGCGGTGTTGATTTGGAGATCCGCGTTGTGTTGATGTCGTCGAGCTTGAGTGTGGTTCATACTTTTGACTCATTTGTTGGGGTGGCGGGATGGCGTGTTTGACGCTGCAGCATCCGGGTTGGTTCGGCGTGCTACGGTGCGTCGCCTTCTGACAATGCCCCCATCCCCCTATGTTGATTTGTCGTCGAGATATCCGTACGCTAGAGAAGCTCGCCATGTGTATCCAGGGTCGCCGCCAATGGCAAACTGGTATAGATACACATGTTCTTAGAATGCAATACAAGTTCGTTTGAACAAGACGTTAAGGTTTTTTTTGGGGGGGGGGGGTCAATGAAGCTGGTATGTGCCCGACGAGTCGACCGCCGCTGTTCAGAGGAACCGGCGCCATAATTCAACCACAAGAATTTTGTGGTGACTCAGTCTGCGCCCAGCAACTTTTACCGGCGCTGCACGGCCACCGGCGGTATTCAACCGGCAGTATTGAGCCCCTACCTACTGTACCTTTGCGGTGATGGCTGCTGCGCACGGGCTTACAGCGGCTCGTGTTGTGACGCATACGTACTCCCAGCTGCCGGTGAAGAGCTACTCGTTTGGATCGTAGTATCGTAGGAGATACCCCGTCGTCAAACGCATTGGACATCATCAGGACAACGAAAATCCGTCTTCTTTTGTCAGCACGGCGCACCGTCTCAACTCCTCGCCCCTCTGCGGTGTCGTGCTGTAGAAAGTTGCTTAACCCGTCAGGCTTCATGTCGTCGACGCAAGCATATGCCGTGCCCACACGAGTTCCCTCCTACAAGCAGCTTGTGAAACGAGGCATCACCACGCCGGCGGCGAAATGCACCGTTTCCGTAACGAACCGTAAAGACGAACAATCGCGAACCCATTTGTAGATCTAGACGCAAGAGCTACGCATATCTCAACGTACCGGAACGCTAATTCATGCAAAGACAACAACAGCAACAACACGCTATAGTCTAGACTAGGTCGTGAGGGGCAGCACGCGGCAGGGTGGTGGCGAAAGTGTAGTCGCAGGGCCACACAAGAGGTCCCGGTGCGGTCGGCAAGATGAGCAAGCTCGAAGACTGGAAATGATCAATCCTCATCAACTCTCCTGAACTTTTGGTGTAGAGAAATGGCTTAGATGTCCATTTCAAAAGCCTACGGCGACTGAGTACTCTCATTTCAGAGTATTCCAATGGATCGCTTGAAAATGATCGTGTTATAAGAGGGCTTGAAGATCCGACTTTCGTAGAAACTTCACTCGTGGACTTGTTGGCAGATTTTGGCAGGTTTTTGGCGTGCAGAAGAGACAGAGCGGTTGGAGTTTAATTCGTGGGCGGATTTCGCGATTACGAAGTACGAAGTACTCGTCAAAACTCCTTACAGATTGTATGCAGAGGGGGCCCGGTTTTCCCGCACACCAGGACAAACCTATGGATTTGCCAACCCCCGGAACAGGGGGTTGCAGGGCGGCAGCTCCACGACTTGCGACCGCCAGCTTTTACACGAGGAAAACGTGAAATCTAAATTTTTGATGAAGGATGATTGAACGGTTCGAGCGTTTGGCGGTATTTTTTTTTTGAGACAGGTGCAGGAAGTACGTGCGCGCGTCGTTCCATCAATTTATCCCGTGCGCCCGTTGCACCTTTCATTTCGTCGAACTGCCACCGAGTCAGCATCCGTATACGCGCCGTGAGGGTGAGGGCGGCCACAACATGCTTCGTTAAGAGTCGAATGAGAAGGAGACCTTTTCCGAAATACTAGAAGCCTCCGCCCGGGCAGGCAGTCCATGAGCATTTATTTGACGGAGGTCGGCATCACAAAGCCCTCACGCTCGAAAGAAGGGATGGTGATGTTGAACGTTGGCGGATCGCGTCTCACCTTTCATCGTTCAGTCCTTGAGGGGAAAGGAGAGCAGCAGGGTTTGACTTGGGCGCTGGGGACCCTATGCGAGGCTGAGTGGGACAAGCGCGTTCCTCGTGATTCAGATGGCCGCATCGTGCTTGATGAGTCACCCACTTGCGTCAAGCATCTCATCCACACCCTTTTGCCTCGTCCAGCATCAGCCAAGGGTATGGGGAGCTCGCGAGGAGCACGATTTGGCCCCCGACGACAAGCCCGAGCTTCTTTACTATACTGCGCGTGTCCTCGGCCTACGGGGACAATCGGCCCCGTTCGACATGCCGATGAGGGGAGGACCAAATATCCTTGAACCTCACGAGACTAAAAGGCTGACTGCGATAGTTCAAGGTTGGTGCCCTGGGCATCCTGGTGGGCTGGAATTGCTCTACCGTGCTTCCCGCGATGGCTGGAGCGCTCGTTCCTTTGACGATAAGTGTCGGGACGGCAGTCCCTCGACGATTAGTCTACCTTTCTCCGGGTGAAGGGCCGAGCAGCAGGTTGTTAGAAAGGCTTACCCCATTAGACTACTCAGTCAGCGCTGACAATGTAGTCTAATGGGGTAGGCCTTTCTAACAAAAGATACACTCTCGGCTCGTAGCCACCCGGGCTGGTCACTGGGAATTTATAAGTAGAGATCTCCGGGGACGGACCCCTCGCCAGGCGCTGCAGGAAAAGAACTAAGGGTGCTTGTGAAAGTGACCATCGGGATTCGAATCCGTGCGTGTACCGCTTGTTTGAAGGCTTACCCCATTAGATTACTGAGTCAACCGCTGACTCAGTAGTCTAATGGGGCAAACCTTCCGCTGACTGAGTAGTCTAATGGGGTACACCTTCAAACAAAAGTGGTACACGCACGGGTTCGAATCGCAGATGGTCACTTTCACAAGCACCCTTAGCGCTGATTCAGTAGTCTAATGGGGTAAACTTTTAATCAAGTGGTACACGCACGGGTTCGAATCCCAGATGGTCACTTTCACAAGCACCCTTAGTTCTTTTCCTGCAGCGCCTGGCGAGGGGTCCGTCCCCGGAGATCTCTACTTCAAGAATCCCAGTGTCCAGCCGGGTGGCTACGAGCCGAGAGTGTATCTTTTGTTAGTAAAGTCTTACCCCATTAGGCTACTGAGTCAGCGCTGACTGAGTAGTCTAACGGGGTAAGCCTTTACCAACATAGAATACACGCACAGGTTCGAATCCCGGGCTGATCTCTTCACGATAAGCACCATAGTTCTGTTCTCGGCAGCGCCTGGCAACGGGTCCGTCCCCGGAGATCTCTATAATACTCACAGCCCGGGATTCTACGAGCCGAGAGTGCATCTTTTGTTAGAAAGGCTTACCCCATTAGATCAGCCGCTGACTATGTAGTCTAATGGGGTAAGTCTTTCTAACACAGGTGGACAGTATCATTGGAGGGTTCTTTGGCGTTCCGCTGACTTCTCCACGTACTCCCGATGGCTACGCTGCTTCCCCGGGAGCGTTCGTGTTCATGCTGAAGGATGGCGACAGATGTACATGTAGACGGGGATCGGCCCCCTTTCAACCGATGAAATGGGGCGTCAAGGTTGAAGAGGCTGCCAACGCCGTTTATCGTTGTCACGAATATGGGCCCATCTTTGGGAGAGGATGTGTGACCTGCGTGTGGTCTGGAAAGTAGGAGCCGCATCCACTGTCCAAACGAAAAACCTCACGCAGGATGTCCAGGCCGAGTCTCGTTTACTCGCGCTCAACGGGCGCGGCGTGGTCGATATCGAGACATTTCGATTGTGCTACTGTAGGCCGACAGATGCTCTCTCTTCGGCCAAACCAAAGCATCATTTCATCGGAGACATAGCGGTACCAACGGCACCTGTGAGGTCTAGACTACTGAGGATGTCCTTTCCTTTTGGACGTTTGATTGCCGACGCATTGATGGAGGAGATTGTGCTTCAAGAAGCCAATAACGAACTTGCCGTTGCCGAGGCCAGGACGACCGCATGCGCAACAGCCTTGGTGGTGGTGTACGGGCCAGATGTGGCGAAGGGACGAGAGGAAGAAGACGTTGTGGAGCTGAGCGTATGCGGGACCAGGGTAACGAGAATGTGCTCCACCCTGCGCGTTTGCCCTGGCTCCACCTTTGCCACTCAGTTTCTCGAGGATAGGTGGCCGGCAACGAAGAAGGATCTCGACGACAATGGGCGGCGTGTGATCGACTGCGAGCCATCCGTCTTCTCCAAGGTGATGGATATACTGCGTGCGTCATGGGCTCGTGGCGACGATGACCAGGAAGCTAACAAGACACCGCGCGTCACCATCAAGCCGTGTGACCGTGCGGAGTTTGAAGAATTTGTTGACATCTACTTCAAGGGCTGCGAGAGCTTGATCATGGAATACGTCGAATCTCTTGGTGACGAGGAGGCCGACCGTTAACAGGTTGGGATACGGAATGAACTTTGGGTTGAGAACGTCCGAGCACAGTGAATGAGAACACAGCTGCAGCTGCTACCGTACTACTGTAGCCTCCCACACTGTGTTCTCTACATACATGAAAAAATTCTCTTTTCAGGTTCAATTTTTCATCTATTCGCTGAGAGAATTCACAACGGCCAGGTTCTCCTTTTTATATGACTATTTTGTCACAAAGTCAATCGACCGGCTTGCTGACGTGTCATTGGCACTGCTAGTGGCACCTCTCCCACCCCGCCGTGTGGCTCGCCCTCTCCTTCGGAGGGAGAAGAGGTTTCGGACGATCAATCTATGCACATGCATGTGGATAATCCATCCTTACCTGCGAGAGTTGCGGTGGCGATGTATGTTGGTTTTCCGTCCTGTACGTCGTCCTCCACCTTTCCGGAGATATACCGCAGAACGTTAAGTGGGATAGTTTTGCGCAACCATCGTCTGATATCTGTATGACCTCCGGTCTCAAACTCAAGGTACGAAAGGCGCCTGTGACCGTCGTTTTTCACTACGCATTTTCAATGGTACCGTGGTCTCAGAGATCGTGTGAGCTATGACCAGGTCACAGCATGCTTCACGTCGTTTGCATTACATGCAGATGAATGGTATGTCACCGGTGTCCGCACCGTATTTCGCAGGAGTAGATCTCATCATTCTTGGCACTATAGTTGAACTTGTGTTCCACCACTTCTCGGTGATTGCTCGATGCAACAATGGGTGGGATTGCCCCCTGTTGAAGACGCCCTCTCTGGGAACCCTGCCTGCGGTCCACCTACAGTTAGCGTTCTTCACGTAAGATTTCTGCGCATGATCATCGTGTAGACTGTTACCATACGTGTTCATGAGTAGAAAATGTTGCTGAAACCCGTTCAAAGTTCTGCTCGAAGAAGTCCGTAATTGGTGTATCAGCTAGGTAGGGTAAAAGGAGTGCCCCGCAATGATATATCGCAACTTAAAACATAGGTAAGTGAAACGTGAAAGTTAAAAAGTGCCTCGTAGGGTCATTGACATTTCGTCTCTAATAATTTCTTTTCACATTGATGGTGAAACACACAGCCCTCTTTCTTCTCGTATATAGTGTCGGAGAGGAAGACGGAGACCCTGGTGATGCGGGTGAAGGAGAGACAGCGACCGCCGCCACCGCCACCGCCGGTGCTGACCATCGAAGCAGCGGGGCAAAGGTACGCACAGACGACCGAGTTCCGATACCTGGGCGGCCTCGTCAACGAGCAGGGCGACCTTACCCGAGAGATCAACCACAGGAGCAAAGCAGCGTGGGCGTGCATTAAGCGATACGCCACGGAGCTCTTCGACCGACCGGGAGCACCGTTTCGCCTCAAAGCCCGCCTGCTCCAGGCGGAGGCAGTGGAGGCACTGCTATACGGCTGCATGACATGGTCCCCACGCCGCAAC